TCTGATCCCCCTTTTTGAAAAGAGGAACCACCACCCCGGTCTGCCACTCCTTTGGTACTGTTTCCGACTTCCACGCAACGTTGATGAGGCGTGTCAACCATGACAGTCCCTCAACACCCAGAGCCTTCAGCATTTCTGGGCGGATCTCATCCACCCCCGGGGCTTTGCCACTGTGGAGATGTTTGACTACCTCAGTGACCTCCCCCCGGGAGATTGGTGTTGATCCCCCGTCATACTCCAGCTCTGCCTCTACCATAGAGGGCGGAGTTGTCGGGTTCAGGAGTTCCTCAAAGTGTTCCTTCCAACGCCCTAACACTCCATCAGTTGAGGTCAACAGCGTCCCATCCTTACTGTACACAGCTTGGATGGTTCCCTGCTTCTCCCTCCTGAGGTGTCGGACAGTTTTCCAGAACAACTTTGATGCCGCCCGAAAGTCCTTTTCCATGTCTTCTCCAAACATCTCCCACACCCACTGCTTTGCCTCGGCCACGGCTGAGGCTGCTGCCCTTCGGGCCTGTCGGTACCTTGCAACTGCCTCGGGAGTCCCCCGGGATAACAAATCCCTGAAGGCCTCCTTCTTCAGTCTGAAGTCTCCCAGCAAGATTAAAGAGTCCCCTTCAGGAGCCCCATACAGGACTCTTTCCAGGGTCTCCAAGAAGGCTGAATACTCTGAACTGCTGTTTGGTGCATAAGCACACACAACAGTCAGAGTTTTCCCCCCCATAACCTGCAGGCGTAGGGAGGCGACCACTGGAGTAAACTCCAACAAAGAAGCACCCAACCGGGGGATTGTGAGTATCCCCACACCCGCACACCTTGGGCAACTCCGGAGAAGAATAGAGTCCAACCCCTATCCAGAAGTAAGGTTCCAGAGCCGACGCTGTGCGTAGAGGTGAGCCCAACCAGATCCAACTGGTAACGCTCCACCTCCCGCTCAAGCTCCGGCTCCTTCCCCCCCCAGAGAGGTGACGTTCCACGTCCCCAAAGCCAGCTTCTGTCGCCCGGGTCTGGTCCGTCGAGACACTCTGCTTTCACTGCCACCCTTCTGGCAGCGCACCCGACCCCATCGCTGTTTCCCGTAGGTGGTGGGCCCGCGGGACGGAGAAGCGGAGGTGTTGCCCACGTTGCCTTTTCGGCTGTGCCCGGCCGGGCTCCGTGGCCTGGTTCCAGAAGGGGACCCCGGGCTTCCTCCGGGCCGGGTATCCTCACTTCTTAGTTCGTCTTTCATGAGGTCTTGTATATGTACTGAGATGAATTAAAAACACAACACAATGTACAACATGCAAATGGAGAGTTGAGGTTAGTAGTATGTGTGGGGTTGTATGACAGTGGGGTGTGTGTAAATGTTGTGCAGTGCATGTAAACAGAGGAAAGGAAAACACCTAAGAGTGAATAAAGCTGCATGTAACCAAAGGGGGGGCTGCAGGGAAGGAGAGAGGGAGACTGTTAGCAGCAGCCAGGGCTTTATAGACTAGGAAAACCCAGCCTAGTTGGGACTAATGATGCCCTGCCACCAGGTACCTCAGGAGTAGAGGAATGGCAGATTAGCAGGGAAGGGCATGGGTAGTAACCAGAAGATGTAGGTCATTCATTAGTAGTCGTGTTTTTGGCATGCACCATGGAGTTTGTTGAGTTGATGACCGCACTGAATCCTACAAAATACTTTTCAGTAAAATGTTTGTTGGGTTTTTCAATGCAATGCATTAATAATGTGTCCCAGGATCATGACCCATTTTATGCCTTTTCTGAACATGTCAGCAGCGCTACAAGAGGTACAGGGTAACAACATGAGGCATATATGCAATCATTTTCCCTTCATGTGCATCAACTGTGTTGGCAACTGTCGTTTTCTTGCCTTTGTTTAATCCTTCACAAGCCAAAATATTCCCCAAGCTTGTTTTCTTTAATTCATCTTTGATCCTCTACACCTGTTAATCAGCTAGGATTCACATGATCTATATACAAAATGTTGTTCAGGTTATTAATAAGTCTGGGTTAGACTTAAACATTAGGAGCCATTTGGAATATTCCTTTCACTTGAGCAATACTGTTTTGGACCCAAGCCCCATTCAAACCTTCAGACCAGAAATACGTTTTAAATGTCGAATTTAATTCATCACAGTTTATGTGTCTTTAAAATCATATAAAAGTGATTGTGTTTGGAACATTTACTCACTAACTCTTGTCATATTGATTGATTGAAGGCAATTCATTTTGGTAGCCTTGCTGATATGGGAGAGCTTTGTATTAACAGCATCCTAATGTGTCCGAATGAGTGCCTTGTTTTGTTTTTATTAATTTTATTAAAGCATTTTTTAAGATTACATATATGGATTAGTGATGAAGAAAAAAGAGGAATGCTCATAATTCATGTTTTCCAAGAGCCATCAATGTAAGAGGTTTACCATTAATGGTGTCATGTGGAGTTCAGCAAGACATATCGCTTTAAACACCCAGAGCAATCCAGCCTCCTTTAAAAGGGAAAATTCCCACGGGTAGACCTTGCAAAGGTGTAAGTCTCTGCATGTGTTCATTAGGAAGAGTGGCATTAAGAAAACAGAAATGGAAACCAAAATATAATTTCATGTTTCCCTCATATTAGTCACAATCTTTGTCACTATTTCTACTGTATACAGCCCACTTACAGTAAAACATCAGGTCCCAAGTTGGACTGTACAACCATGAAAACACTCTGGTAAGAGAAGTAGTTATCACAGCTAGTAAGTGTTCATAAATTAATAACAGAACTGAGTCAATTAACTCCCTTCATTAGACACATTTTCTTCTGAATTTGACATCTGCAGCAGTGGCTTACCAGCTAAAAATAAACTGCAGTGAATCATTATAACCATCAAACGAACATTCAAACACATTATTGTACAGATGGCTTAACCCTGGTCAACCAAGACAAGTTTGGGGATTCAGATGTGTTTGCCTGCACTGCATCATGCACACTCTGGTAAGCTGGCAGTTGTATAATGCCAGCATAAAATACACTGGTTGTATTACAGCATTATTTTTGCATCAATGCTGATGTGGCCTATTATTTCTATTTGCAACAAGGCAAGAAAAAAGAATCATAGAAGTAGCAACCATCAAGTGACATTAACTAGTATATATAGTGAGTAAGCATGGCTCTCCCTAGGTGTACAACCGCACAGCCAGTGATTTTTGTATTGCTGGTGTTCTAAAAAGCTTTCCCACAGAGCAGTTAAAGCTTGGTGTAAATGTCTGCATATATGGCTCAGCATTATTGCTTCACAATTGTTATGAGTTTAATATAAACCTATATACCTTGATCAATCGGCTAGGTTAAAAAGTCACTGTCAGCAGCATGAGGGTTTTTTTACTAATTAGCACACCTTCAGAGGGCAGCAACAAATCAGTGTCATCTCCTGGTGTGGTGTTTGTGTTTCAGTACTGCGCATGCAGACTCTGGGCTCTCTGTGGCACATGGTGTGGGAGCAGAGAAGTGCCAGGTCCCCGCTTTATCTCACTGCCTGCATACAGTTTAGCAGTTTGATTTCAGCACCATGGATAGAGCCCGTCAGTTGGACAGGGGAACTGGACTCCAGCAGCATGAAAACAGCTTGGCGCTATGCTTATCCTGTTGTAGCCCATTACACTAGCGAAACAACCAAACATTTTCTAAGGCATGTGGGCATATTTTCAAATAAGTTGTGCAGAGGTAATTGAGGCAGCATGTACCTACAATAAGTTCAAAACAAAACTTTTAATTCAAGTTTAGGGCTATCCCTGAGGGTTATCTAGAGCTGGCTGGCTCCATGTCCTCATTTAAAGTAAATGAGCATGCTGCCTAGGAACATGTACTGTGAAATGTAAGAACTTGCATTTTTCCAGGCTATTTGATTTACTCGTATGCTCAGCAGCAGACCGGGAAAATCCCTCAGAGTTGGGCAGACCGCATCTTTCACTGGGACAAGCCGTGAAGCATCCCTTTCGTTTTGCCATCTGGAAAAATGAAACTGTGCTCTCCACCGTGTAACTACGCGATCCCAGACCGTCTGTCAGTTTTACCGACCTGCTACCGGCAGGCTATATAAAACGACTGTGAGTGGGATACGGCTATAACATAATGCACTCTAACAGAATCTACTCCAGGCTATGATTCCTTTTCACCGTTTCATTTTCTTATGTTAAGGTACACACCACATTACTTCCAGCTTTCATACTATAGTCGCGGAGTGATCGCGCATGAATGTTTTTTTTTCCTTTCCGTGCCCAGATGTTAATGCTCATGAGGTCGTGACGGTGAAAAAAAACGATGATTTCAGCGGGATCCCGTGGCGTCTGCTTCCTGCAGCTGTAGGCGGCCTGAAGTTTCCTCTCTGTAAGCTGGCATTGGTGGGACGCACCAAGTCTGGGTTGATCGCGGAGTGGCCCATTGCGTCAGGATGAATTGGCTTTGTAATGCAACTAATAAGAGCACCTTCTCAATCCCACATTGGTGTGCTCCAGCAATCCAAACTGTCAAAGCACAACAGATTAACTATCTCCGTTTCCCATGTTCACTTAAACACTTTCTCTGTTTTATTTCCTAGTTGATGACGTTATTGCGCAACATCATTTCTGTTTTCATGAAAGATCTAGACGAGTGGTGATGGATACAAAATAGGAGTCTTGTTAAGATTTCCACTGTCAAGCTTACACAGAGGGGGACCACGAACACGTAGTGCTAAAACACACACGCACTTACGCAGATTTGTTTCCTCTTTTTTTTTTTTTTTACTGCTTTCCCTACATGAAACTCGATAAAGCCTTATCAATTGGCAGCAATAAGGCTCGGTGTTACAGCAAGTTAAGGACGGCAGACAGGGGAGGGAAAAGTGTTGGATGGAGAGGAGGGAAGAGAGAGAAGGAGGCTGAGTGGGTAAGAGAGAGAGAGAGACGGGGCGCGCATGTCCGGTTCTTCCATGCAGGCTGTTCTCCGAGCCAGTCATTCTAGCGAGTGTCCTCACTCTTCCTCTGCCTCCGTCTGTACATGTGCACCGGACACACAACTCTCTCCTGAGCGGACACTGCGGGGAAAGCAAGGAACGAGCCCACCATGGAATAGGAATACTGCTGGACAAAACGGGGGAAAAACCTCTCTCTCATCTTTCTTCCTTTTTCCCCCTTTTTCTGACGCCCTTTTCTCTCTCTCTCTCTCTCTCTCTCTCGCGCACCTCTCCCCCGCGCTCTCCCTCTCGATGTCTCTCAACAGTTTCTAAAGGAATTGAAGGAAAGAAAAATGAGGATTATTATTTTGTCTTGGCACTTTCTCGGGGTGTATTCCGCCCTAATGGGGCTGGTGACGGGGGCTTTCCCCAGCTCAGTGCAGTTAGGTGAGTTGGAGGATTACTGAATTTACGCACGAGCACTCAGAGCTGACACACTACACTGAATGGGAGAGGATTTTAGCGGACAGCAGTCACCAGAGAACGGGGATGCACCGGGACGCTCCAACACACAAAATCAATGTAAAATGAGAAATGTGCGCATGAATGAAGGAACAAGAGCACATACTAGTATATCAAACATATTTCCTTCTGGTGCATCTTATCTTTCTTGTCTTTTATACAATACATTTGAGTTGTTAGGGGGGATTGGTGTGTTATCTCTGCTGTGTGTTTTTAAAGGAACACTTTCACTCCATCTGTCTCTTTTTTGAATGTTTGTGTATTTTAAAGACTGTTCGGGGTTCATGAATGTTTCGGCGATCTTTGTACCCTTCTAGTCTTCTTCACTGTTTAGACACTGCAGTATTCTCTCTCTCTCTTTCTCTCTCTCTCTCTCTCTCTCTCTCTCTACCTCTCTGCCCTTTTCCAGTTACCCTCATGTCAGTGCGGAGGAAACCTGTCTTTTCAACCTGCCTTTTAGATCAGAGATAAAGTTAACTGATTCTTGATCATCGTTGGTTTGCTCAGTGCATTGGGACTCCACATGCATGGAGCTGTTCCTCTCTCTCTTGCACACACACAAACGCACACACACTTAGTATAGGCATGTATGTGATAATGAATGCACTGCATCACTCCTTGTGGGGGGCAGCTGGGAGGTCCTATAATGAGATTCAGCTCCTTGACTCCTCCCTACAGCTGCCAATAAACTTAATACGCTAAATATTTTCTGCTTGGCACACACACACCTATTTGCACAGGTTTTCAAGCATGCATGTGCAAACGTACACAATGCAAATGCAGTCATACACATGCACACATGATACTGTGCACACAGCTGCAAACATGCATTTTAATAAATGTACAGCATGCGGTACACACTTTTTGTACTGGAAAGCGTACATGTGCACACACAGTGAACATGCATGCATGTACAGTATAAAACACATGTGATCATACAGAAGCATACACATGCACTCTGTCCTTCTCTCCCACTGACCGTCCTCCTTAAGCACTCGTATATACTTACATGATCATGCACTCGGCTCTCTCTTAAAGAATCATTTGCATATCTCTGCATTGCACACAAGTATAATTTCTGTTGAAGCACAGACAGTTTCTTTTTGCAAGTGTGTGTGTGTGAGAAAGAGACAGAGACTGACACAGACGAGAGCATTAGTCAGATTTCCTGCAGAAACAGCTGCACATGTACGTGTCATGTTGGGACATATTTATAAAGTCTTTATGTTTTTTACATGTATGTGTTTGAAAGTATGTGTTCCAAGGTGGAATTCTAATAAAAAAACAAATCATATTTTATTTCTAGGCAAATTCACTTTAGATTTCTGATCATTCCCAGGAAAATCTAGATTAATCCTAATGATCAAAGATGCATGTGTTTAGTGGCTCTCTTTGATGACTGATCTATTTAGGCACATAATAAGAAACACAGATAAAGAATAAATGAAGGTGATACAAACTTTTAGCACGAACGAGACACTGAAAGTTACACACATAAGTGACATTTTATGTGATGGTTGCTTTGTTCAATATGATCTGCCTCCCGACTCCTCCCCTGTCATTTTTTTCCCACCCTCCCTTCCTCCCTCCACTTTCTGTGCATCCCAATGCGATGCCAAAGCTTCACAGTCTGCCATTGTAATACAATTCAGTTGGGTTGAGTCTGATTCAGTTCAACTTAAGTCAAGTCGGTTTGTTTCCGCTCAGTTTAACCTACCATGTGGAGCAATGTAGAACTAATATATAGGATTAGCATATCAAACAAATGTATATCAGTGAAATCCACAGCAATATAACACAACCTCATGTTCTATTATCCTTCCTTTCCCAAAATTGACATGTTTTATACTGACTTTGACTTCACCTACAAATATTCCCAGCAATTTAAGCTTTTAGCATTGCCGTGAATGTTTTGTCAATACATTGATTATGGCTTGGTTAAGGTTACCCTATCTTCTCCTAATGGCCTGACCTACAGCACTTGCCCTCTCTGGGCAGGTCATGGTTAAGAGCTGTGGATTAAGTTACATGGTGACTTTGACAGTTGTCAATGGGAAGTATCTCAGTAGTATGTTTGATACATTTTCAGTGTATGTGAGTGGTTATTGGCATTCAATTAAAGTGTCAATATCAGTGGTTACTCTCAGGTAAGGGAACACATTTGAAAGGATCTCATGACATCTAAATGAATAGAAGAGTCAAAGTATTTTAAGCAGCTGAGGTAATATGCCTCTTCTCCTTCTTAACTTAACTCTTCTCTTTTAAATAATACCTTTGCTTTATTTCTTCTCATCATCTTCTCTCCCCTCTAATTCTTAATATGTCAGATGGGCCCTATTAAGGGATACTCTCCATATTAAAGGGCAACTGACACATAGACCTCAATTCCCTCTTCCTCTCTTATTGAATGGCCCGTGCCCCTCCTTTATTTAGCCTACACCGTCTATGTCGACCCTCCTCTGGTTTCTCTCATGTCCTCCAACTCATTATCTCTTTGACTGCATTCCCCCGGTTTTTCACAACTAGCAATGTAATGCGCAGTGTCGGTATCCATCTTTGTGTTCATGTTTATGTTTGTGTGGGTGTGCTAAAACACAAATTACCTTTCGTGACAAAGCTAACGAAGATCTTTGCATTTTTTTTTTTTTTTTATATTTCTTTATTGAAGACACATAGAAAAGACATTTGGTACATTGACAGGGACCACAGTTCAAAGCTACTAGTAACCATTTAGTCTCTACTATTGTGCATCAATTGACAAGCCATACATGGTTAATTTTCACTTGAAGGCATACAGTATTTAAGCCACCTTCATAACTCAAACAGACCAGATAGCCAAAATATAAAGGAGTAGTGTACCGACTAACAGAACTAAACAAGATAATAATAATAATAATAAAATCAAAATAATAATACTAAAACAATACAAAGACAAAAAATTAGTATACATACATAACAAAGAGGAAAAGGGGGGGGGGGGGTAACCATCAATCAGTAGACAAAAATGTGAGAGATTGGAAGAAGGTTACTAATGAAGATCTTTGCATTCTTCTCTCTCCTATGTTTTTTCTGCCCCTCCCTCCCTATCTATCTTTCTTTTCCCACATTACTCTTCTTCTTGCTGTCTCTCACCCTCTCTCACCCACTCCCATCTGACCCCTCTCCCCCCTACAATGACTCATTTCCTTTTTCACACCATCGTCCTTTTCCTCCTCTTTGCCCCGTACCCTTATCCCTCTCTCTAGGTGGGTTGTTCATTAGGAATACTGATCAGGAGTATACAGCGTTCCGACTAGCTATCTTCCTCCACAACACCAGCCCTAATGCTACGGAGGCTCCATTTAACCTGGTCCCGCATGTCGACAACATAGAGACGGCCAACAGCTTCGCCGTCACCAATGCATGTAAGTACATGAATATGTATCACTGAAAATGAGGCTTAAACTAAAAGCCTACACTATCTATGTTTCTACATTTGTGTTGGGTTCAGATTGATTAATTAGCAACTCAAGTTGTTAAAGGATCAAACTGAAAATGTCTTGTTGTAGCCTTCTTTGGTGGATATCATGTGAAAACACACTTTTCTGCATCAGTTGCTAAAATTGCAATTTTGAATAAATGCATTTTAACCATTCTTATAAACACATTTCTCACTGCAAATGTATTTAGAGGCAATGTTAGTGGTGTATTTATCCCACATTCTGGCTGATACTGTTCTTTATATCATACCTCTGCTCCTTTATATATTATTAACATCTTGGCAGTATCCATCCCATCTGCAAAAAGAGCAAATATTACCCATCGCTATTTTAGCTTATAGATATAAAGTTAGTCTTGGAACTGCAGCAGACAGTGGTCAAAATGATTCATTTGTGTTCAGAACAGTACTTTAGTCATCAATTATCTCTTGAAAGATTGACAGCTAGTCGTTCAGTGTACGTTGCTGTTCTCTGGGAACCTAGATCTTATCTTCACACATCCTGTTGACCTGATATAATGTGCCAGACAGTAAGTGGTTTTTGTTAGCGTTGGTATTAACATTCCTATTTGGCCTCTCTGGTCCAGATTTAGCTGTGGGACCCCTGCAGGTTTCCACTTGGTGACGCTCCGTCCTCTGCACAGCTTCATACCAAGATTATAGCAAGATCTTCATAAAGCTTATTAATGACATCAGGTTCCCTATTTATATTGAGTTTATATTCAAGATATTGGCATTAGCGGCTTTTGAATCAAGTTTTGACACCAAATTATTTGCCATTGTCTTGTCTATCAATTCTATGAAATCAGTGAAATCCTGATCCTCTGTAGGGTTGTGAGCAAACATCGGAATAGGTGTATGCCCGAGTGACTCCCGACTATCTCTAATATTAGTGTTTGACTCTCCCCTTTCTGTTGGGGCATGTCTTTTGCATATATCAGAGAAAGAATAGTATTAACCAAATGCTCGCCAGTTTACGTCGTCCTACACTTTTACGTTATTGTTTTCCCTCTCTTCACTACGCCGCAACATTTAGTTGCTGCACCACAATGAGTGACACTGCTGTATGCCACACTGATCTTATTTCCTTTTAAATTGGTAGGTTTGTTTCTGGGTCGTGACTGTTTCTTAGATGAGAAGAAATCTCTAAAAGATATTGGTTGTGTAATTTTCTTGCTTTGCCTTCGGGTAAAGTAGTATTAGGTTTTTAGTTGTCTGTACTTTGACACAACACAAAGTTAAAAGTTATAGTAGTGGGACTGAGCTGTGTATGGATGTTATGTTGAGAACAGTTTATTTAATCAGTTCTCTTTCTTAAGGTGTTCAGACAGGGCACTGTTTTTTGCACTTCCCTTACAGTACAAGCTGAATGTCCCTCAGGGGTATCATATCATATCCTCTCATTTACAATGCCCTTTTGTGCATCAATCTTATTTTAGGGACGTTTGCAAGTGATTGTACTGTAATGTTTCATCTTCTTATGTTATTAAAACTTTAATAAATCAACCACTGCGGCCACTAACAAGGCAGGGTGAACTAAATCAATACAGGAATACAGAAGGGTCCTTTTGACGTAATATCATTGTATTTCAAAAAAAAAATCCTTCAGTATTTCCAGTTTGTAAATGAAAGCTCACAAGCTGCTCCTAGTGAAAATCCCAAAGAAGTGGTTCTCAAAGTGCTTCAAAGTCTGAAGGAACGTGAATACAATCTAGCAATCGATATATGTTGTGTTATAAGTAAAATACAATTTTACATTTTACATCCCTGGACGGTAATATTGTATTACATAGAATCAAAAATCAGTGTGTTTGTCTCCTGCCCCCTGTAATGTAGCCACACTTGAATGAACTGACTAGTTAATACCACCTACAGTGATTGGAAAATGAATAGACCATTTAATACCTCCCACCTACAATATGATCACATGCGGCATCTATTTCTGTTGACTCTTAAGTTGCTTGAGTGGGAAGCTACACATTGAGTACTCATTAAGTAGGTTTGGTATAATGTAAAGGGAGGAGTATGACTTTATTAGTGATGAGCAAATGGTTCTGCTCGAGGGAAAAGATAGGCACAATCAGTTTTAAATGTTCAAAACAATGTATGTTCCAAAAAGCATGGCTAATAGATGTTTTACACTGAGCATCAGAAACCTTCCTTTCTCTTTTTACCTTTACTAATTATGCTATATTCACTTAAACAACAATAACCTTCCAGAGGTTGAGTAACAACAAAGTTCATGATTTGCAGTCAAACACAAACCGAGGGAACCATAAATCCTGTATATGATAACTAAATTATTTCCGGAAATTATTCATATAAAATTGGTTAAATCTTCTGTTAACTACTGTATGTTATGCTGTTTGACAGTAACACACACACGCGCACACACACCAACTCACACACCACACAAATCATATCATTATAATTAAAAGTCTCCTGAAGCGATCGGGTATTTATTTATTTCTGGTTCCACATATTCATGTTAAACACACTTTGGATAACCACTGGACACCTCTGGCTGTCAGTGCTGTGACATCTTGATGCAGCGTGATCATCAGCCACTGGGGTTAAGCAAGACATATCAGAATTGAGGTTCTGTTAAGTAATTGTACAACACAATTGTATTTAATTTCAATACACACACTCTTGCAGGCATTGGGGCATGAGGGAGGAGTGTTAGGGAAAGGAAGCTCGTATTGGAGACCCCTCTGCTGTCTCTCTGCAGGCTTCACATAACAAGTGTAACCTCTTCCCGGTCTCTCTTTCTCTCCAACTTTTTCTCTTTCTCTGTCCCTCTCTACAACTCTTTCTTTTCCACTTGCCATCACACTTGTCAATCTCTCTTCATTTGGCTCCCTGTCACTCTCCACCTTGTCTCCCCATCTTCCTCAGCTCCTCTATTCTTCATCATGTTTTTCCGTCTCTCCCCTCTCCACAGGCGTGGCGAATGGATCTCTAAATTAATCCCTGACTCTTGCTCGGGGTGGTGAGCAATGCTCAGAATTAGAGTTGGGAATTCTGCCTCTGACCTTGGCTAGTTCCTCTTTATTCTATTATTCAGGAAGTCTGAACGGATCATAAAAATCCCTGGTCCCCATCGTTTTCCATATTCACAGAGGAATACAACCCAATTCCTTGTCCCAGGGTCACACATTCGTATATCCTCTTTGGCTGTCAATCTCTCTTTGTTGTACCCTGCTTGCAAGCGTATACCTGTGAGTCCGTGTCTTTTGTAGTACAGTATATATATGCTTATATCTGTGTTGGTGTGTGTTTGTGTCTGACGTTCTTCTCAATGTGTTGGCATCTGTGTTTCTGTGTGTGTCTCTCTGCCAGAGAAGCACACGATTCTCCTGGGCTCACCGATGTGTCTCTATTCACTGGCTTATAGAAAAATAATGTACATGGATTAGCATGACCAAAAGCCGCAGCGGATGTGTGTGTGTGTGTGTGTGTGTGTGTGTGTGTGTGTGTGTGTGTATGCACGCACGCATGAGTGGTGACATTTCTGTCAATCCCGAAGGCATGTGTGAAAACTTGTGTGTCACTGAGGTGCAAAGGATCATCCGCTGAGACAGAGCGTGATGAAGATAGACAGAAAGTGATAAGGTGAATTAGGGACGGAAGAGAAAGAAATGGAGAAGAAAGGATTTGTAACAAAGAGGTGGTTATGCCAGGTTTGTGGTGCCAGAGCTTAAAAGGCTCAACGATGTGCCGCCACGGCTGTATGTGATTCTTGATATGTGGGATGATAGTCCTTTTTAATCAGTTTCATGTCCAAAACTAAGACAAATGACATGATTACAAACAGTACCTATTGTACAGCAGTTGTAATTATGATGTGTAGTGTGGTGTCTTTGTTTTGGTGGTTGATTATTGCAGTGATGCATAACCTCATTTGTCATCTAGAGTTAATATAGATTGCACTTATAGTGAATCATTCACAAATCAATACTGTTTATGTATTATTGACGGCTACAGATTGCATTTACATGCAGGCTGCACCTGATTATCTTTGCAGCCTGACTGATTTAAACGGTCAGAGTCAGAATCTCCTTGAGGTGTCAGTCTTGTTTTGTCCCTCTATTGTTAATTAAGGACTAAATTAAATAATTCAGATATGTGGAGACGATAAGGCTTCTGAATTCGGAATGGTAGTTACTGTAGATCTGCACTCATTTCATCAATTACTGTATTTGCATTTATATAAAGTTATATTGAAATATTTACACTTCACCTCAATGTAACCTTGCCTGGCATGTCGGTTACTGGGGTTACCAGGAGATACCACAAGGGGATTTCTCAGCTAGCGCTTCTTGCGTCTCATGTTTTCATGTTTCTTATGCCCCTAAAGACTGTTCATATCAGAAGACAATATAAAGAAAGTTCATGAAAGACTTGGTTGTTGAATTAATGTAAACTCAACATTTGTAAGGGCAGTCGTTTTTCCTTTTTAGGTAAAAAGACCACACAAGTAAAGAGTAATGTGCAGCATGCCAGTCATTAATGAGAAAATAACACCTACGGGTGAGCAGCTAATCACACGGCTACGTTCTAAATAAATCAACGGCTTGACTCACAATATTCATTTGAAATTGATCGTATTGCTTCTGTTTAGAAAACATTGTCTGTTCCACTGCGTACCATTGACTGCTGCGACAGCAACGTGAGCTAACATGACGTCAACACTGATCAAAATGTTCTCTAATTGTCCAAGTCTGTTCACATTTACTTTTCCATTAACCAGTCTTTAAACACTGTAAAAGCACATACCATGTTCCCTGTATGTACTTCCCTTCTGTCTTCTTCTGGAAATGTATGTGGTCTAGCTTTCTGAGTCTTTTAAACTCTTTCCTTCTCTCTTGCTCTTTTTCGTTTCTTTACTGGGTACAGTTTAGAAATCATTAATCCAAAGTTTCA